CCCCCCCCGTCCCTGTTTAAAGTTATATCTGTGAGTGACTGAGTTTGTAAAGTTTAAAGTTATTATGTGTTTTCCATGGAATAATAATTCAGGAACAGAACCTTTCCTCAGCACATTTTCACTAAATGTAAAAAATGTTAGAAGTATGGACACTGGACAGGGATTTATATATTTTCTTAAAATTATCACCCCACTGGTGAAGGTGGGGTGAAGTGAATGAGTTTTAAAAAAAAAAATTTTAAAAATTTAAAACCAATTTTTTCATCATATTTAACTTGAGGGAAAAATAAATTATTTTTGAAATGGGTGGATGGGAGAAAAATATTTTTCAAGAAAAATACACCCCTGAATAAGGAACAAACAGTTATTTGTAAAAAGCCATGTTCAAGTATGTTTGTTTAATTATTCCTTTTTACAAAATAATCCTTTAAATTATTTCATTAAATATTTAATTAAATTTGTTATTTATGTTATTTCCCTGCTTAATGAATGTCTATTCAAATTTTCTTCCATGTTTCATTTTGCGGTAATTTCTTAGAGAGCGATTTTTGGACCGCCCCCTCCTTTAAAATTTGTACATGGATCTGAAATGTAAGACATGTGGCCGCAGCGCTCGGCCCCCTAGCCTGTCCTAGCCGCAGCGCTCGGCCCAGAAAGTGTCTTAACCTAACCTGTGGCTGCAGCGCTCGGCCCCCTAGCCTGTCCTAGCCGCAGCGCTCGGCCCAGAAAGTGTCCTAGCCGCAGCGCTTGGCCCAGAAAGTGTCTTAACCTAACCTAACTCTAAATAAATACTAATTTAATTGACAGACCCCATTCCTGCTCTGTATATTGTATAGTAGTTTTCTGATTTCTTTGATTATTCAATGCAATACATTTATTATGAAACAAATGTTTAAAGAATACAGTTAATAGGACATGCCACTCTATGTATGGAAGGTTACTTGAAATTACATCTTCAGTCCCTCTAAAGTTTAATAATCTTATTTTGCTCTAGTTCTGTCGAGGAGGATTTCTGTCCTGGTTCTAACTTTCACCAGATTTTGGATAGAAGCCTATTGTACTGGAAGAAAGATATGGTGAGACTAAGGGGGAAACAATAATTTTTTTTTGGGGGGGGGGGGGAGATTTTTTTGTCCTGCCATGTGATTATTTTTTTAATGATTTAAGTGTTTTTTGTTTTGTTTACTAATAATTTAAAAATTAAAGTTTTTTGAATTCGAAAAATCAAAAGATTGAAATAGTTTTGCTTGTAAACATTATTTAATTAGTAAATTGGTGGTGATTTCTCCCCCGACCCTACCCTGCCAGCTGATATGACAATGCATTCATAAATCTTCTCTTATCCTCATAAACAAATTAGTTTCTAGCACACAATGCAGGCAAACTTCTATTCAGACAGAATTTTCATTTTATTAAACTTTAGACAGGGTCGCCAGTGTTTTAGTGTTTTTTTGTTGTTGCTAAATTGTGGACAAAAATTAACTTTGATAGAAAAAAGTGGACTAATTTTCGAAAATATACAACCCTCTAATACTGCACTCTTGTCTAGCTGGTCACTCCCTTTAAGTTATAAAGTATAAAATCATTGAATTCCACTTCAATGAATTTCTAAGTATCCCAACAAATAAAAAATGATTCCATATAGGACCCTTAATATCTAAGTACCATGGTCAATCGTTAATGACTGCAAGGATTTATTTAACAAAATCTTTACAATTCCATTTCAGGTTCGAGGAGTGTGGTTTTATGTACACCCAGAACACTCTGCATGGATTCCACATCTTGTTAAACAGGTAAAACTATGCTTCATGCAGATGTAAAGGGACTTGAAACAATAGTTCAAGTGACTCTCCATTTAAAAAAGAGTAGGATGCCGATCTGTGTTGTATCCTTAAAACAACAGTGAGAAAGCAACTAGTTTTATATTATGAAAAGTGTAAAATTCGGACAACTTCCTCTATTGTTTATGCAGCAGAACTTTACATGTTAATTTTATAGGAACCTACAATTGAGGATAATTAATTTTTAAAGAGAATAACATGGTTATCTCATTCATTCTTCATCAGAAAAGCTTGGAAGGTGCCATTGAGAATCAAACATTGAATTTACTCCTGAGAAGCGTCATAATCTAGTTAATCTACTTTTAGTTTTAAATGAAAACCAAGATGGCAACAGTTCTTGCCTTTTTGTGCAATGACGTTTAATTAATTTCAAAATAACATAATCAAATTAAACTTTTTCAATTAACCCCTGCAATCTGCATCCCTGAATGTGAATTTGAACGGGGAACAAGTACAAAAGCTTTTAGATACAGGGTTACCCAAATAGATTATCAAGTACAATAGATGGCAACAGAGAAATAGAATAATTATGCATGACGTCACAAGTGTAAAATATAACAAGGAAAACGAAATTTTCTCACATAAATTGCTATGTTTTCCAAGATTTAATAATATAGTGTAAAAAAAAGAAAATAAAGACACATAAACTTTTTTTATGATAAGCAATTTATTTTAAAATTATCACTATTATTAATAATTTTCTCGGACACTAAAACTAAGTTGACACTTGTGATGTAAGCTATACTGAGAGTGGACAAATCCTACGTTGCCATCTATTGTACTAGAATCTATTAGGGGTTACCCACAAAATGAGATTGATAACCAAGATATGAGAGGTTTCTTATATATTCATTGAACATGATGATGATCAGAAGACCCAACTTGGTTTTCTGTCTTCAATACACCGTTTCTTTGGATTATTAAATGATATCGCAAAGGAAGAAGTTAGTTTGCACCTGCTGGGAATCATCTATTTTAATAAAGTAGTAATCTCATCTTGTATGTTCGTATGTCTGATCATACCTCATACACCCCTCAAAATTTGATTAGGGCATTAGGGAGAACTAGGGGCATGTTCTTAGTTTGAGTGGGTTGAAAAATCCAGAAAAAGCTGAGTTCCTATGCTAGTACATTATTTAATTAGAACTTAGTAAGTCTCTTAAGTCTCATCATTTTGTGGGTTAACCGTACAGAGGTTATATAACATTCAAGTTATGGTAAAAATTGGGACCATGAGCTTCAGTAGGAAATTTTAGATTGTCGACCACTTGATTTGTCATTTATCAACTTGGGCAATTCCCTTGTGCGCTTCTTTATCACACATTTGTCAATTGCTTTAAAAGAATTTATTTAGTTTTAAAAACTACTATAACTCATATTACAACCTACTTTGTTATAACTAACATACTTATATTTAATATTATATAGAAAATGTTGATTATTAAATATTTATCCTCAATTTTACTAATTCTAGGAAATAATATAAAATTACAGACTAGACCGAAAATGCATAGTATTATAAAACTTTAATGAAATAAATGGGAAACAATTGGAAAATGAAAATAAAATTCCAATTAGTTATATTACCCCCCCCCCTTCCACAATTTTTTGAAACACATATTAATGTCAAAGTATTTTAAAATAAGTATTTAAAGTCCAATATTTTCATGATTTCAAATATACAGGGTGAGCAATGAGGTGTTATAAACTGCATCTGGTGCAATTCTCCTCTAGGATATTATATAAATATTTTTAAAACTTTTATTGGTACTTGTGGCCCTAAGAAAAAAATCTGAGAAACTTATTTCTCTCAAAATGAAAAGTTCAGAACAGAAAAAATGTGTGCATGTAAATATCATTTTTTGAAATTTTTAGAATTTTATAAATAATGGTTATTCACTTCGAAGATACATTAGAAAAAGCACAAACCCGAAGCGCTCCAAATTTTATAATTTCAGCACTTTAATCTTTATATTTGCATTTCTTAAAATTTCCTCTAAATTGGTTTGCTTTGAAATATATTAAGATAGTTTTCATCATTTAAATTCAGTGGAGGAAGCGGCAACCAACAACTAAATGTTAAATCTATAAACTTTGTATCCCCTCAGGAGTATATATATTTGAGATTTACTTCAAACTTCTCTATTTATTCAATTCCAGTTTAGCTTCCAGGGGTGTTCACTATACACTATACAACGTAGAATTTTATAGAATTTTTTCCTAGATAACTTTGCTCTATGACTTTCCATGTAAAAAACATCCCACCACAGTTGTTCAGCTTGTTTTAGCCGCAAGCTCATCCTCCTGACCTGTCCTAGCCACAATGCTTGGCCTCTCTTGAAGCCTGTGATAACGTTAAATAATGATATTGTTTCTAGGTGTTTTAAATAGCCAAAGCAAAAATGTTGCATGGCCATTATTAATTGTCTTTTTCCTTCTCTATTAAAATTTTAATCCGCCCCCCCCCCTCATCCCTCTAAGGAGGAAAAATTTGGCTTTCTATCCCCTGTTTCTATGTTTAGGGATTTGTGTTCCACCATGCCAATACAGAACGCCTGGCACTCTACCTCTGGCTAGATGATAAGGAAATAAATATTGCTTACAAACATACAGGGGTATATATTTTCGAAAATGATTTACTGGGGGAGGAGGGGGGGGGGGTGATTTTTGACATCATCTGAGGCTGAATTTAAATTTAAAAACAATTGGGGGCCGACTCAAATCTCGAAACACTTAATACAATTTCATCTGTCCATGCTTGAACCGCATCTCATATTTAAGCTGTGGCTCAAATTCTTCTCCCCTTTTTCTTTCTTTTTATTCAAAAGTAATTTTTAAAGGTGGGGAAATGATTTTACAATAATATTTACCCTGCAAACATGCAGAGACAGAACCTTAAAAACAGGGTTACCTTCTAAAGATAAGACTGTTCTGACGACTGAAAACTCTTGAAATATAAAGATATCGGAAGTTTAAATTTAACATAGTCTTTTTAGGTAAAATAAAATAAAAGTAATTTGGCAAGGAAAGCAAATATCTTCATCTGCAGGGAAAAATGAATTTTAACAAATTTAACGTAAAATTTCTGTACAGTCATCTTTGAAGTCTCATTCTTTGCAGTTAATCCTGTATTTGCATATTTAAAATATGGACACTGAACAGTTAAGACAATTTACTTACTATTTAGATTATGAATAAGGATCTATAATCATGAATTTATAAATGAACTGACTACTCATTATCAGGATACAAGGATTATAAAATTAGAGTTCTATACGAGTAATCAGTTCCTTTTTCACAATGAAGTTGTGACCACCAGAAAAATGGGGAGACTAATTTCTGTTAACTATTTTCTTGAATTCTGTTACTTTAAAAAAAAAATTGTTATTGCAATATTTGTTGGACACTGCACAGGATAGATGCCAGATTCCCAGTTATGCTCATACTCTAGTAGGGGTCGGAGGAATGGTGATAAATGAGAGGTAATTAATACCCTAGAGGGGTTGGGGGAATGGTGATAAATGAGAGGTAATCAACACTCTAGTAGGGGTCGGGGGAATGGTGATAAAGGAGAGGTAAATAATACTCTAGTAGGGGTCGGGGGAATGGTGATAAATGAGAGGTAAATAATGCTCTAGTAGGGGTCGGGGGAACAGTGATAAATGAGAGGTAAATAACACTTGAGTAGTGGTCAGGGGAATGGTGATAAATGAGAGGTAGATAATACTTGAGTAATGGTTAGGGGAATGGTGATAAATGAGAGGTAAATATTACTATAGAGGGGTTGGGGGTATGGTTATAAATGAGAGGTAAATAGTACTCTAGTAGGGGTCAGGGGAATGGTGATAAATGAGAGGTAAATATTACTCTAGCAGGGGTCAGTGGAATGTTGATAAATGAGAGGTAAAGAGTACTCTAGTAGGGGTCAAGGGAATGGTGAAAAATTAGAGGTAAGTATTACTCTAGTAGGGGTCAAGGGAATGGTGATAAAGGAGAGGTAAATATTACTCTAGTAGGGGTCAGAGGAATGGTGATAAATGAGAGGTAAATATTACTCTAGTAGGGGTCAGGGGAATGGTGATAAATGAGAGGTAAATATTACTATAGAGGGGTTGGGGGTATGGTTATAAATGAGAGGTAAATAGTACTCTAGTAGGGGTCAGGGGAATGGTGATAAATAGAGGTAAATATTACTCTAGCAGGGGTCAGGGGAATGGTGATAAATGAGAGGTAAATATTACTCTAGCAGGGGTCAGGGGAATGGTGATAAATAGAGGTAAATATTACTCTAGCAGGGGTCAGGAGAATGGTAATAAATAAGAATTTAAAATATATATTTCTGTCGTTGCCGCCAATATTTAGACTTTCTGCCACCGTTTTCAAGTTTTTAATGATACATAACATACCAATTACAAAAGGCAACAAAAAAGTTCTAAAGTCACATATTTTATCACATATTTAAGACTGAATAAATGAATTGATTTTAAAAAATCTTTTCGCTAAAATTGTATTTTAAGAAGAGTTCATGTTTCACTGGTTAAATAGTCTAAAGACGGAATTATTCACAATTGTACCCTGTAAACCTTCATCTGATCAACTATTAGGAAGATATTTTTTGTTGTTCTATCTGTGATAATTTCATTGTCTCAGAGAAATCACAATTTAAAATAATCATTTTTAAATAGAAAAGGGTACTATTGTTAATCGGGCATGCTACTCTTAAAAAGGGTGGTCTCTTGAAATTACGTCTACACTCTACAGTCCCTGTATTTCCCTGTAATAATGTCTGCCTTCTTTCTTTGTTCCAGTATTGTGAAATCTTCTGTTAAATTCTATGATTATTTCTTGGAAAAATGACAATACAATCCAGAGCTGGAAATTAGGCGAGAAGGAACAATTAGGTTTTTGCTGGAGAGACGCGGGGGCATAATTATCACAGCCATCAACAATTTAAAGGGACTGGAACCAGATTTTAAGTGACCTTACATGTGGAAAATTTTGTTGTTTTTTAACCCTATTACCGCTGGGGGGGGGGTCAATTTGACCCCCCCCTGAAGTTTTTTTTACATAACTCAAAAAGTATTGGTCTGAGTTGCAAGAAGTATTGTCGCTACAAAGTTCTAGGTTATTAAATAGATTACCCTCAAACATAGGAGGTTAAAAAAGATATTAATTATATTCAGTATTTTCTTTTTCATTCTTCAATTCAATGATTTTGGTTGTTAAAATATAACGCAGATTTTTAAAAGCTTGCATTTTAAGTTCCTTTTTTATTTGGTTTCCTTAGAATTCTTCGAAAATTCTTTTGATAAACGATTTTCTAAGAATATGCTAAAAATATACAAAAACCAAAATTGAGGGTTAATCATTTTAAAGAAGGGGCCATTTTATGGGGTTTACGATTAAATGGCAAGATAGAGGGGCGGAGGGAATGCCCCCCCCCCCCCTCTCCCTAAGATGTCTTCCCAGATTTGTTCATTACTAGAAAACTTTACAAAAATATATTTTTCTAAAAGATCAAAGCTCCAATCAAAAATTAATTTATTTTAGAAATAAAAATTAATTTCCAATGATTCTCTATCTCTAAAGAAAGTACAGCTTATTTAACCAAAATTTAATCTAAAAGCAATTTGGAAAAAGGTTTCCGTTTATCTTCCCCCCACCTCCTTTCCCCCTGGTACAAAACACCAGAAACCATGCATAAAGAATATCATATTCTTCAGAAGTAAGTTTAATTTACATAAATGGGTTGAGGCACATTTAACTAAATTTAAATTTCATTCAAAGGAAGTTAAGATAAAGAAGAAAATATAGAATTCGAGTTTTAGTTCATTTTTTGATTGTTTTGATATTTTAAAATATGGTATAAATACCTGTAAATAAAAGTAACATCTGAAGTGCCAGGCGTTGCCCGTGGAAATTTTAAAAAAGTAGAATTTTGCAACATGAAAAAATAGATTTTTAAACTTTTTTATTTTTAGCTCATGTTACCCCCAGGGTACTCATGGGTTTCCCTCAGACAAGTTTAACGAATTCTGTCCAGCCGTTTGGCCTGGCTATAGCTAACTATACCTATTACTATTTTTCTCGATAAAAGTCGCTCCACTAATTCTAGAATCTCAAAATCAAGCTGAGAACATTCCCGTGGTCCTCCCGAGTTTCCCATTCAAAATTTAAGGAAAATAGGTCCAGGGGTTCCTGAGTTATGATCGGACAAACAAACAAACAAATATTACAACTTAACATTATATATATATTATATTATATTTATATAAATATGTAAATATGAAATTATATATAATGTATATTGTTATTTTAAAAATTGGTTAAAAAGACCTGCAAATTGAAAACAAAATCTAAAAAAACAAGTTAAAAACTTAAATCTAAAAACTGAAAAGCATAGTGTATTATATTTTTAATTTATTCGCTTAGAGATGAAATACTGGTTGTGCAGGAGAGGTTTTACTTATCACCCCACTGGAAACTTCCAGGTATTGCAGTAATTATATATAGGAAGGGGGGAGTTGGGTTTGGTGGCGGGGACAGGGAAATATTTTTGATATTTATAAAGAAGCTAGATTTCTAAACAATTAAGAGGAGACTTGGAAATCGTCTTTTATCGTTGAAATAGTTTGTTTCTGCTTTTATAATTATCATATGAATGATTTTGATCAGATTTTAGACAATTTGGCTTCATTTAATAAATTGAATTTTATACCTTAATTCTTAATTTCTTTCTTTCTTTGGTAGACCACATTTGGAAAAGTCAGGAAAAGGAATAATTGGCGGTAAAACTGGAAAATGAATGTCGGAAATTATTTCTGAGATCGAAGATGATTTCAAAATCTTCTCTTGATTGTTGAAAAGTTTTGCTACTTTATGAATGTCACTATTTTCTTCCTGGCTCCCCATCCTCCCTCCCAAATACCACGCTCCTTTTATGTTTTCCATTTGGCACTAGCACTCAATCTTATAGTTAAAACATCCTCCTAACCACATATTAATAACAACAAAGATATAACAATAGATGTCGCCTTTTTACAGGGTTTTTGTTCACAATAACCCTGAGGCAGAAGCCCAAAAGAGTTACGCGCATGCTTTCTCTGTCTTGTCATTCAACGCTGCATTCTTCTGCCTCAGCCCTCAGGGTTAATGTAAACAAAAAAACTCTGAATCTTGAAAAGACGACATCTAGAGTTCTATCTATATTGATATTAATCTATGGTCCTAACCTACTTCCTATACTCCTTCCTACTAGAATATGCTTATCTTCTCATGTCTAAACTTTATTCAAAAGTGCTTTGTCTCATCCATTTAAATCTCAATAATCTGAGATTTCTAACTTTGTTCTTTAATTTCTAATTAGATGAAATAAAATGATACAAATACCTTTATTCTCTTTCTGACAATATTTTATATTTTTCTAGAATATTAATATTCTTCTATACCCCCCCCCCTCCCCCAGCCTTGCTAAATTTTTATTGGAGAGACCCTTGTTCGATTAAACAGATTAATTTAAATCAAGCTTATTTCAAAATTTGAACCAGTACTTAAAATGTCCAAAATGAAATACAACAACAGTTGAAAACTTATTTTAAAAAAAATTAGTAGTAAAAACAAAAAATTCCAAAAATTATTTGGTTTCAAATATGGATTTTTTAAAGAAAATTTAAACATTTGAACAATTTTTAAAGGACCCCCTTCCTTCCTCCTCCTTCCCTTAGTTTCCTGATATGTGTTATTGTGTCTTAGTGAAATACTAACAGATAATTATATCTGCTTCCTCCCTTCAACTTGTATTGAGAACCTCAGTTGGATTTGATTTTCAATTGATCTTAACTAGAAGATCAAGGAGCTAACAGAACCTGATAGGAAATTAAAATATTAGTCATAAAGCTTTTGATTCTTTGACAGAGCATCTGATGTTTTAAACCAATGTGTAGACCTTAGATATTTCAAAGTATGAATTTTGTAAGATTAAGGAAACCTAAGTTTGGATTTTTTTCCCGGGCAAATGGTGTGACCCTTATGGTGTGAATTTTTTATATTTTGAACTTAGATTATTTGGTCTAACATAGATAATAATTTGAAAAATTTAAGGACAATTACTTATTTACAACTTCCGAAACAATGGTGTCAGAAATATTAAAATTATGAAAAGTGGAAATCCTTATTTTCTTTGCTCAGTGGTACTATTGGTTCTCTAGCTCAATAGACTATCTATCTATCTACATATCTAATGATATATCATTTGTCATATTTGGACATAAAACATGGGATTTAGAGGGGGGGGGGGTCAAATTGACCCCCCCCCAGCGTATCCTGGTTTTCAAGTACCCCAGCGGGGATAGGGTTAA